AAAGTAACCGGTACTGAGCGGTCTGGAGGATGTCACTCTTGGTCCGAAGTTCGGGCGGCCAGGAACTTTCCCCGACGGGTGGCAATATATGCCGAGAGCTAATGCATAATGCTCGGCCCCTGCAGTCGGGACGGGCAGCGAGCCCGCGACCGAACCACCGTGGTTGTATTAGAGCTCAAAGCGATATCAATGCGCCAAGGGTCTTGAGATTCGGTAGTAGCAGTGTGTAGGAAATGTATTCGATATTGCACATGAGTGGGAGGAGCATGTCGCGTCGAGCCGGAGCGAACGAGCCGGGAACGCGCCCTGGCGGCGATCAATGATCAACCGCCTTGCGGCCCGGAAGGTCACTTGCGTCTTGACTGCAACCACGACCGCATGTCTACCAAAGTACATCGGTACTCTCAGTCCATGCTACAGCGTCAGACCTTGACTCTTGGATCAGGAACAGGCAAACAGCGGGGATGATGCTTGGATTCGCGTCAAAAGCGGATCGTTCACTTTCCTTGTCAAGAAGAAGGTCCTCCTTCGGAGTGGCACCTTGAAGGATATGCTTGGTGGTCCGTGTATCTATTCAATCAGCATACTCAAAGTGTCCAACGCGATGTCGTACAGGTGACTTCCAAGAAATGAACGAAAGAACTGTGGACCTCTCGGCGAGGTAAGCTGCGCCACTCGTTGTATGCGACCACTCTAACCTATGATATCCATAGCGCCCGGCCAATTGTCGCAGAAAAGGTGATCGAGTATCTGGCATATAAGACTACGTACGAAAATGCAGGGCCCAAGGATGAGATTCCGGACTTCTACGAGCGTGTCATGCCAGAACTGGCTTTGGAACTGTTGAGCCATTCTCTCTCTTCATCTCGGGTGCCGTATCTTATTGCGCTATCCAGCCTCACAACTGCAGATTACCTCGCAAGTGAGCTCCCACGCTGTGAAATGGTTTCGTAGCCGATGGCCTGACGTTTCTCTAGCCTGATCTCAGAGGCCCTGTAAGACACTGCCTATCAACACGCGCAATCTTGGACCAGTATCCGCGTAGCGTCTTCAAAGCCACAATCTTCGTGCATAGGAAGGGTGAGATGAGTGAATCGCGTCGTGGTACACCAACAACATAGACGTAGAGTAGCAAACGATGAAACAACATAGCAGAGCATACATGAAAGCCATTGAATCCGAACACGTCCAGAAACATCATCGTCGTCATCATCAAGTCGTTTCATGCCTCTTTAATGGGCGAGGCTTCCCTGTTGGCCTGCGAGAGCGCGAGATGCGTTCCGCGAGGCGTTCGACTACGCCACCTTCGTCGTCATCGTTCAGAGTGCGCCGTATGAGTTCCTCCATAGTACCCGGCCACGCGCCTGGTACATCCGTCGGAGTGGTACTGGCCTCTTCCGAGGGAGTGGATGCGCCGCTGCGAGTTGGCGTACCCGCTCTTTGTTGCAAGTGGGTCATAAGAGGAGCGCGCATAGACGGCGCAGCAAGACCAGGGTACGCCGTAGGCGCGGGTGGTTGCTCGGGCAAGCGCTCGTTGGCCACATCGAAACGGCGACTGTTTCGTCTGTCAGCGGTGCGCTCTCGCAAGAAGTGGCATGTGAACGTACGCATCGTCGAAGCTGTGAATGTAGCGCCGGATCTGATTGCCCTGTACACCGAGCGCGTCCGGGCCAGAGCGTTGACCGCCGATATCGGCGGTAA